CCAGCTGCAGTTGACCTCACAGGGCAGTCACCGTGTCATATCAAGGGCACTAGACTGGGATTGATGGCTTCCAGCTGTCTTGGGTCTGAGTCCTGGAGTTGCCTTTCATTAGCTGTGTGATTTGGGGCCATTACTTTGCCCCTCTGAGCCTCAATTTCTGCATCTGAAAATTGAGATAGTGACAATGATCTCAGAGTTGTTGCAAGGATTAAATTAGATAAGACGGGCAAGCTGCCCAGGGCAATGCCTGCTCACAGGCGTCCTTCCTTACATCTCAGTTGTATTTGAATCATTTATTGAGCCAGCATATTTACTCAATACCCACGTTGCATGAGGAACCCTTCTTTTTCTTGATTTGATAGCTTTCAAAGGTTAGGGCCTGAGGTTAGTCTAAGAACATAAAGCCGGTCCTAGGACTTTGTGAGGATTTGTCTGACTCTGCTTGTGTGTGTGTGTGTGTGTGTGTGTGTGTGTGCATGCGTGTGCACGTGTCTATCTTTCCTGGGTGGTCTGTCCCCACTTCACCCTTTGAGAGCTCCTCCCTTCAGCCACAGCCCCCATCTGAAGCATCTTGAAGGGGCTCTAGGAGCAGGTAGGGCAGGGGTGGGCCAGAGGTGGGACAGTGTTGCTAGGAGGTCTGGCCCCTGCTGGAGCAAGGACACTGGGCACGCCAAGGCCTGGATGCATGAGGTCTGTCACCTGCTGCCTTGGACACTTTGATGATCGAGGGCTGAAATGGGGAGGGAGACAGTTCTTCCCAGGGTTGTGCCTTTCGCTGTCTCACAGATCTCTGGGGCCGCTTCCCAGGACTCAAGATGACAGGGCCTAGAGGGAAGACTGAGGCCGCTCCCGTCCTAGCTCACCCAGGCTAGGTGGACTGTTTTGATGGTATCAAGGCTCCTTAAGGCAAATTCTTGTTTGTCTTCTTGTAAGACTTATCCATGTGCCCTCAGCCACAGGAGGGAAGAAGGTGGTGGTGGTGGAAGGACTAACACCTATCGATTGTCATACTTGTTATGAGTATGGGCTTTGGCCTCACAAAGGCTCTGCCGCCCACTCGCTGTGCGACCTTAGCCTAGCTACATAACCTCTCTGAGGTTTGGTTTCCTAATCTGTAAAATATACAACACCTCACAGGACTGTTTTGATCACTAAATGACATAAGGCATGTCAAGCACTTAGCAGAGCATCTGGCACAAAGTAAGCCCCCGACACATACAGGGTAATTTGTACTCATACACACACGCACATGAGCGCACACACACACACATACATATACGATCTTAAAAAAAAACTTCATGACAACCCTATGAGGTAGACATTTTAATCTCAAGTTGAGACAGAAAAACGGAAGTTAGAAATGTTACCTCCCTTGCTGAGGTCACACAGATAACACACTCTACTGCACAGTAGAGCCAGGAATGGAACCCGACCCTGACCTGAGGCCCCCCATTTCCTAAGGCACCAGGACCTCCCCAGCCTCAGAATTTGGAAGCGTTTAGGAAGCCTTTAGGTCTCTAGTCCCTTAGGCTATGGGAAGGGTTTGGCTCTGGGGCTGGTATGGGGTTGGCAGGCTTTGGAAGGCAACTTCTCTGGGAGTGTGTGCTGGGGGCAGGGTGTTAGGAGAGATGTGGCACCTTGACCGTGGACCATTTGACTCAGGTAACTCAGACCACCTGAACCTGGAGGCCAGTCTGACCCCGAAGTAGAGATTAGAGGTCTCTCATAGGGCCAGAGAGAGATCCAGGGTAAGGGGCCCTAGAACATGGCCATATCGTTGCTGTCCCAATGACACGAATGCGTTGGCCACCATTGTGACTATGCGATGTAGATATTCATTCAGCGAATACTTTTTGTGCCTGGCATTGTGTCAGATGCTGGGGATCCAGAGATTAACAAGACACTTAAAGATGTCTGGTTTAGGCTGGAGGAGAGAAGGTACCCCAAGCCAGAGAAACAGAATGGCTGTGGTTTTTCCTTCTCACATGCTTGTTGGTGGCTCCCTAGCAATCCGCGAAACAGAGTGTAAATCTTCCCTCAGAACAGAGCCAGGGAGCGGCAGGTTTTCCTCGGTACAGGAAGCCACGCAGATGGGAGATTTTCCTCCTAACTTCACTACAAACCGTTAAGCCTGGAGCCCTCCCAGTGTTCAGGTTGGAATAGGTACAGGGTCAAAGAGCCTTGATCTTTTCTTGATAAACCAATGATTTGTGGGTGTGTTGCTTACTGACCTCAGTGAGGGGCAGGTGTGTGGGGCTGGCCTAAGGGAACAAAAAAGAAGGATAATCAGAGCTGACTGTCAGGTTCAGAAGTGCCCCAGCCCTTGGATCAAAGAGATGCAGACTTGCCTAAATAGCACTAATTTCACTTCAAAATATGTGATCCTTTCCCCACTGCTGTGCTACACCAGCCTGGGGAAACTTCAGGTCTGGATTCCGAGGCCTGAGGCCCAGGCACAGCTGCTGCACAGGGCACAGATAATGGAAAGACGTGTCCTGGGAGCAGGGCTGGGACTGGCTCTATGTCGGCCACTGACTCACTCCAGGTGATTTTCTCTCTTCCCTCTTGGCCAGAAGACCCACAAGGGCAGAGCATCCTAAGCAGCAAGTGCAAAAATGTTTTTTAAGCAAATGAAAATGACTCACAGAAATCTCTTTTCCTTGCTCAGCGTTGGAAAGAAGGTGAGGGGTCCAAGTTTGATGAATGGTTCTAACTTTTGGGGCCGTGGACAGCTGTGGACAGCTGTGGACACTCCCCAGAGAAAACATACCGCAGCATGTTGTATATAATTCCAAGAGTTTTCTAGACCCTCTGAAGTCAATTCTTGTACCTCTTAGGCCAGATTAGAACCCCTGGACAAGAAGAGGTTGAAAAGCCTTCAACTTTCACTTCTCAGATTTCTGAGAATCCTGGCCCACTTGGATCTTTCGGGCGTGGGAATCCAAGAGAGAGGATGCATTCATGACTTTTATTGGGCTCCCATTATGTGTCAAGTGTTCATTTAATCTCCACAAGATAAGGTAGGCATCATGGTTCCTTTTACAGAGATGAGGAACCTATGGCCCAGAGAGAGAAATAGTATGCCCAGCATCACAGAGCTGGTGAGTGACAGGGCTGGGACCCAAACGCAAGCCTCTGGCTCCAAAGCCTTTCTCTTCCTCTAGGGTTAATTTTGATTCTTGTTTATTCCAATCCAGCTTTGCTCCTCCTACTCACCACATTGGCCCCAGGCTAGGTGGGCTCTCTGCCTTGCATCCCACCCTCCCAAGCACCCCTCTTCATTGGGAGGAACTGCCTGGGAAAAGCCCAGAGTCCCAGCCTTTGCGGTGGATAGGGCACAGGGCAGGCACCTCAAGCCAGGCAGGGAAGGGTCCAGCGTGCTCAGTGGCGTGCGTGGTCTACGGTGAACTAGCTGAGCCCTCCGCCCCAAAGTGGAAAGAGGAATGGGAAGCTTGATGTTGTAGCTTCCTCACCTCCCTAGTCTCTTCCACTTATCCTCTCAATATATTTACCTAACAACATCTAAACAGTCAGGGCCAGACAAAACTGTCCCCAGTTCCCACCCCTCAGCTCCTCGGAGGCAGGAGTTCCATGGCCAGCAGGAGCAACCAGTGGGAGGAACCTGGCCTCGGCAGCCTGATTCGTTTCCCATTTCTTTGGGGCAAGGAGCCCCACCCCATTAGTCAGCTTGGGGCTGTTCTGCAGAAATCTAGAACTTGTGTGGGTACTTCATGGTTCCCACTCCACGCTGGAGGAAATGCCCTCCTGTGCATGGGTGCCTGCAGCAGCAGCTGTCCTAAATGGTTCTCATTTCTTTATCACCCTCTCCCTTGTCACCTCAGTACCTGCTCCCGGAACAGATCTTTCGGAAGGTGAAGTCTGGGGGAGGAGAGGGGAAGACCAGCTGCTTCAGTGGGTCGGTTTCCTGGGGCAGAGTGTGGCACACTGGGAAAGCATAGAATTGGAGATCATTAATGAGAGACTTGGAGGACAGGGCTGCAATGTGCTTGCTGGTGGCCGAGGGCAAGGACTTCTCTGTTGTTCCCCATACTATGGCCACTGCTGATCCTTTTGAAAGCTGAGGAGCCCGGCTATGGGCTAGATCAGCCCCCAGAGGACATCAGATGGAAATGCCTCAGCAGTGCGTGTGTGTCTATCAGGATCTTCTCCCAGGAGGTGCCACGGTGGCTACCTGGCTGGAGAGCCAGCCCCTGCTCCAGGGGAGGCCAAGGTAGGAATGCTCCTCACTTGAGCGTTGAGAGTATGGCTGATCCAGAGCCCAGGACGCCATCAGGAATGGGCAGAAGTGGGGGTGGTTTGAGAACAGGGCCTGCAAAGGTGGGTGCAGCTGGAGTTAAATGACTCCCAGGGGTCTGACTGCTCTTGGTCTTCAAACTAGGTCCCCCTTCCCACACATCCCCCAGCTCCACAGAAGACCCAAGAAGCACGGACACAGTGGGGAGGAGGTCTCAGCCCCGCCCGCCCACCCTCCCGTCTGCATCCTCTGCTTCGTGTGCACTGGGCTCTCAGGAAGCGCAGGTGGGCATATGGCCGGGATGGACCCTGCCACCTCCAAGAGAGCCCTCTCCTGTCCTGCCCTGGCCTCCAGCTCGGCCCTCGTGGCTGCAGAAACTGGAGTGAGGGTGAGGCAGGCACACGTGCATGTTGTAGGGGTGGTAATCCAGTCAGGCAAGAAAGAAGGTGGAAATGATCAGTGTCTGTCAAAAATTTTATTTTATTTTTTCATTTCACACAGAATGATGTTAAAATAAATCCTCAGTAATATATATTTATATACTTATTTACTTGTGTTGATATTTACAAAAGACCGTGGAGCTCTATGGAGTCTATGTACATCCATGATCAGGTGGACAGGCAACGTTCATTGAGGCACGTATGTACACATATATGTATAACCTATGTACAAATATCAGACCCTACTGACACAGGAACTCTCAGCTGCAGAAGTCCTGGGCGGGGCAGTGTTGGTGGGGCTGAAAGCTTCCAGAATATGTCAGCAAGAATGATAATATCTATACATCCTGTGCAATGCAGTTACAGCTGGTGTCTAAATTTTCATGAAGCAAACAAATAGTTAAAGGACTCCCAACTCCCATGAGTCTTCCCCACAAGTTCTGCTCCGCCTTTGGCTCCCATTGGTCCCCAGCCTCTTATCACCATGGAGACCCCAGTTCCCTTTCGGCATCATCCTTACGAAGCTTTACCATCAGCCTTGGAGTTCCTTCTGCTATTGATCCCAGGGAGGCTTATTTATCTGCCTCTCCTCTTTGAGTTTTCAGGAATTATTAGAGACAGGACACGGGAGGGCAGCTGCGGAATCATGCACGAGCAGCAAGGAAGCCAGTGCACACCCTAATTAGAGTCTGTGCTGCATGGCCCTAAGGGAGTGGCTATTTCCACGTTATATATATATATATATGTGTGTAATATATAAAATCTCCAGAGACAGTCTATATAAGCACAGAAGCACACAGGTCTAGAAAAGGAAACAGCATCCTGCACTCGCGGTCTTTACAGCTGCATCCCTGATGAAAACTAGAGAATCCTCCTTGATTGCTGGCACCATGAATCCTGACTGTTTCAAGATTACCCTTAGTGGAGAGAGGGGTGCAGGGATGCAGAAACCCAGGCAGAGGCCAATTTGGCCAGGGCATTGTTTGCTCAGCAGGCTGGAGCTTGATCATGGGACTTTCCAGCTTCCTGGGGCCCTTCAAATGAAGGAATCATCCAAGCACGACAACAAAAGGAAACTGGGTCGCTGGCTCCCACGTGAAGGCAGAACTGGGGCAGGCACGGAGCATGTTCAGACCCTCCGGAGCTGACGCTTACCCTTGCCAAAGCCAGCCAGGCCACCTCCCTTGCTTTGCTCTCCCACTTCCTTGCCTGTGGCTGCCTGCCCCTTTCCAGCCCTACCTGGCAGTTCGATGTCCTTCCCTGCACTTCACAAGCTAAAAAGGTAGTCGTGACAGCAGCTGACCTGGAAATTGTTTGGTAGGAAAGTGAGTCCCTGAATATTCTCTTCCTCCCAGCTCCTCCTCTCGCTTTCTCTAGCAGCCCAGAGTGTTTATGCGCTCATAACAACAAGGCAGTCAGTGTCTCGGGAATCATTTCCAAGGAGAAGCAGGGCTTACAGGCCTCTCACAAAGACCGAAAAGAGACACTGGACTGAGTCCTCTGGGTAGCTCCCGAAGGTCCTACTCCACAGTCACACCTACACTGCCCTCAGTTATCTGGATGTTGCAGCAGCTGTCCACATTATTATGTAATCACACCTGCCCTGTGCATCGTCAGTGGAATGATTCAGGGAGTTCTCAGCTGCAAGCTCATCTGGAGCATGTCTGACTATTTTAGGAGTGCAGAGGAGCACAGAAAGTTACATCCATTTCCACGCTGAGGTTCATGCAGTGTAAGAAGTGGCCATTCAGACAGACTGCCTCAATGGCCCCAGTTCACCAGCTGGTCATGCTAAGGCTGGGTTATGGGCTTCTACTATCTGACCACGGCCAGCTTGGCCAGATGGGAGGAGTGTTGGGAGATGGAAGGCACCCCTGTACCACCTCAATTGCCCCAGATACCAGTGAGGAATCCCTCCTGCCCCCATCCAGGTAGAGTGCACACAGTCATGCAGGAGGTGAGGCTGAAACTATCTCCCATGGGTCTAACACATTGCCAGGTAAGATGGAGAATGAGAGCATGGTTCAGCTCGGACCCAGCTGTTTCTCCAAAGAGGCAACTGAATTATAGCTGCTCTGCTGCCCACATCTGCAACCTAGATCTGCTCAGAACAACAGGATGGGTTTGTTAGTTCCATGGGTTGTCACACATCTCACCGTCCATGGGGCAGAGATGTTCTTTAGTTCTTCATTAAAAATGTTACTTTCAGATCTCATGAATTCAAGGCTAGGGCACCACTGATGACAAAGACAATGCTAAACAGATCAGTCCTTTGCCAGGTCTTGGAGCTTTCCACCCCCCCCAGAGCTACAAAGTTTGGCATAACTTTTCCGGTCCTCAGTGATGAGGTTACAGCCAACCAGGGCAGACAGAACAAAGAAGAAAGCACCTGCCCTTAGATCAGACTTTCCTTTTATCCCTGAGTCAGGCAGCCACCTGGGAGGGAAGGGAAAGATCTGGCGCCTGATCTTTTGTTATAAAAGAACTGCCTTCTCGAGAGGCCCCTCCACAACAGAAAAAGAGCAGAACTGGAGAAGTGGTAAGAATGCAAAGGAAGGCCATTTTAAAAATTCAAATAAATGCAGTTTATTTCCTGGACTGCCAAATTTACTCCACATTAGTGAAGCTAAAAGGATCGGTCACTGTATAATTGTATAATTTTTGAAACAATGGTATACATATATACATATACTATACATCTATATACACAGATATATGTATATATGGAAAACCTCTGTAACTAAGGACCAATTAACCAAAACCTTGATTAATGAGAATTATGTTTTCTTACTATACTTTCAGTAGAAAGAGGCAAGGGCATTATCTGATACACCAGGATGTGCCCAAATGGCCACCTTCCCGGTATGTCTTGCAAGCAGTGTACATTCAGCTTATCTCTTTGGTCTTCCCCATCTACACTTCCGTACAGTGAACACTGAGGTTTAGAATGTTGACCCTGAGCATTGCAAGGTCTTCTGTCATCTTCAAACACTCTACTTACAAAGGCAGGAAAGTTTATACTAACCTACTTAAGAAATAATTTTTTTCAATAACAAAGGTTGGACCAAAACATGTTTTTCCCATTCCCACTCAAATAACTAGAATTGTAAAGCAATCAGGATGCTCTCTTCCCTGAGGATTTCCCCGTCAGTTAACAGGTTTTGCTGTACACATGTGTACAGAGCAAGGTAGACTGGAAAGGAATGAAATGGGACCCTGGGTGCCAGCCTTCCCTGATTGTCCAGTCTGAATATTTAATCTCACAGATTTTTCCAGGAAAGGGGACTCTTCTGAAGCCCCTGGTTATGTGTGCAAATATTTGTGCAACTGCACACTGTAGTGGGTGGTAGGCTCTTTATGTCATTAATGTCATGCCCTAACCACCCAACTGTCTATCCCTGTAGACCTCTACCCACAATAACTTGCTTCCCTCCATAGCTCTCATGCAGTCCCTTTGGTTAAGCAAGTCAGCTTATTTTGAAGGACAGCTGGAGGGCAAGTCCCCAAATCTGCCCAGGCTACTGATCCCAGGTGCAAACCTCCAGGCCACATTCCCCCAGCATCCATCTCCCTGGGGAGAGGAGGAAGGGAAACAAATGGATCAAGTAATGGCTTTTAGTGCATGGAAATGATCTTCTGTAATGGCTCAGGATGCTTTATTCTTATCTATTGGTAAGCGCTTTCCTGCAGGCTTCCATTACACCCTGCCAGAATGACCGAAAAGTCAACGAGATGGGCTGGCATGAGGTCACTCAAACTCAAGATTTCAGTGCCTAGAGGTTGCAAGAGAATGCTGTGAGAGGAGACAAAAAGAGGGAGGCGGGAGGGAGAGAGGGACAGAGATGCAGAAAGAGACAGAGAGATGCACGGGGTTGGGGGAAGGGGGAAGAATGACAAAGAAAGCTTTCTCATGGACCTTCCTTGTGCATCCATGGCACCTCTGCATATGTTTACATTCCAAAAGAGGGTCAGAGCCTCAGAGGACAGGAGTCATGAGAACACTGAGAAGAAAGGGGAACTACAGAGAGGGTGAACTAATGCCCAGAAGCCAAGGGCATTATCTGATAATCCAAGTACTATCACTTTTCAGTCCTGAGAACAAGAATTTGAAGTAGCTATTGCTAAAGAAAACAGTCACTATTTATTTTATTGCACTTTTCCTCTTTAAAAATATTCAGACAAACTATGAGAAATGGAGCTGAGCTTTGGTGGGAAAGGAAGCAGATAGAAGGGAAAAGTGAACCAGATTAATTTGAGGAAGAGACCCATCCCAGTTTGCAGGGGATCCCTCACCTCCACTCCACTTACCGATTTGATGGGGGAAAAGGGCTGATCTCCACAAGGCCCAAGTCTGAGGCTACGGATTATGGTCACAATAGCCATTGAGACACCTCACTGCTAGCTGGCTCAGGTGGCTAACGATGTTAATGAGGGTAAGGTCATGAGTTCAAACCTGGCAACGGACACTTTGCCAAAGCTGAGGGAACCTCCACTGTGTAGCCAAGGAGTACCCTAGACATTACAGTCTACATGGACCTGTCGTCTTAGACCAGCAGCCATCACCCAGATGGACGCTGTTAGGACAATGACCCAGGGGAGCCAGAGCTGGAGCAGGGCTCACCATCCCCACTCCTGGGTAAACAATTCAAAGCACTGTGCTCCTCCTGCCTGCCGTAGGGGTTATGATGCCACCTTCAAGTGCAATTTGCAAACTGTCCTACAGTTTCCTTTGGGGGAAGTCAGCCTCCACTTCTCTTCTCCACTACTGTGAGCAGTGCTGAACTCCCAGCCTGAGAACCTTCAGAGGGCACTCTCCTTTCTCAACATGGGTTGGCACTTTATGGCTGACCACAAGGAAGTAATTTGGCCAAAGACCTCACTACAATGGAGTGAGAGATCCAGAGAGAGCAGCTAGGACAAGCTAGTCCTGCAGCCCTCCCAACGTGGGGCAGCCACACGAGCACCCAGGCTGGGGGCCTTAGCCAACAATGCTTACTTTCATGGGAGCCCTTTCCACAGTAGGCCAACGGAGTCTGGAGGCACACTCCCTTAGGGCCCTTTTTAAAAGGCTGACCTCCTGGTGACATGCCTACCCCATCCTCAGGAGCCCAGCTGAGAGGGACAGAAGGAAGCAGAGAGGAAGGAAGAGAGTATGTCCAACATCACATAAGTTTCAGGAAGCACAGAGCCTTAATTATGCCCTTAATTAAATTTTGGCTCCTGAAAAGTTTACTCTGAAATTTGACCAACGTAGTTACCCTCTCATCGTGACAACCTCCCTACCTTTCCTGGACCTCTTTCTCTTCAGCTGCCTGAAAACTCCAAGTTTCTTGAAAGTTTGAGCCCATGGAGGCACCTGCTGAAGCTGAAGGGAAAACTGGTATCTTGACTTGGAAACACTCAAAAGGCCCAGTATGCTGTACTAAATGCACAAGTTTGGACCCACGCGTCCATTCTCTGCTGTTGTTGCTTCCTTGGTGGAGATCGAGAGCTGTGACCATCATTGGGAGGGAAGGGTGCGACACATCTGGGACAGCAGCAGGAGTAGAGGCCATGATGCCTGACCTTATGCCTGACTTCAACTCCCAACTTCCACTTGAGGTGAAGCTTTTGCCAAAACACACCCAGCTCTCAGCTAGTCTTACAAGCGGGAAGAACCAGCTCCATGGATAATCTCAAACAGTGGGCAATCTTACCAAGCATTTAAATCTGGCCTTAGAATATAGGATAAAAACCAGGCCCTCTAAAAAACTGTAGTTTGCTTGCGTAGCATTAGGTTTAGGTCCTTAATCACGTTTCACTTGAGCTGAATTGGTGTGCATTTCCTCAAGGCGCAGTTGGATGGGAGGCAGGGCATCCAGGTGGTACCCTATCAGAGTATGCCAAGATTGAACACCCATAGAGGGGACTCAAGAGTTGACCGCACTGGGCTAATGCCCAAGAGCAAGTGAGATGCCACAAGCAAGTAAAGGTGGCTCATCTTAAGAGACAAATCTATATATGGTCTTGACTTTCTGACCCACCCCTGACAAAGCCACTGGGGATGGAGGGGCAATAAGTTCTGTGGACTGAGAGAATGTTTGGGGCATCTTTACTCTGATTCTGGGCCCAGGACCCTGCAGTTTCTTGAGCCACCATTGCTGTCAAGAGAATGAGGCTGAATCCAGAGATCCCAGGGGTTGGGAGCAGGGAGCCTGGGCTATCAGGTTGTCTGTGCAGACTTGCTTTGAAGGAAAGGGCAGGGCAAGGAGGTGTATATTACCAGGCCTCCAGCCATCCCAGGTCTTTGCACACTCTGCACCCGGGTTTCTGGTGGGAAGAAGGTAAATAGGTAGAAACCCCATAAGATTCCTAGTCTTAATCAGAGACCTGCTCAGCAATGGTGGCCCATCTTTCTGCTTTAAACTTTGAGGGTTACTTCTCTGAAATCTGGGGATGAGTGAGAGAGAAAAGAGTTGGAGGAAGAGACTTCTTGAAGGATAATGAGGGGTATAGACGCAGGCTAGGGAAAGGTGATTAAGTCTGATCTTTTGTTTGTGCCTATTAATTTATAGCTTTGGGGCAGAGCAATGGATCTGTGTATATGTATGCATTTCGTGTGTATTAAGTGTGTATATTCTTGGGTGTGTGTTCTGTATTTTGTGTGCCTCATAAGAGTGAATGCACTGTGTATATAAACTGAGTTTGTGTGTATTTTGTGTGAAGAAACAATAGGAAAGTATCCTTTGTGTATTTTTGTACGCATACCCATTGTGTTCATGTAGTTTTCATGTATTTTGCATCTGATTGCAGGTTGTATCTTTGTACACGGTGAATGTAGGCCTTTTCTGTAGGTTCTGTATTGGTAAGTACATTTGATGTCTGTGCTAAATGTGCATATTTTGGATTTAGGTATAACCAGATATCTTCGGTGTATGCCCTATTTATTAATTTGGTATCTGTGTATTTTGCATATGTGCTGCATGTTCTGTATTTGCATATGGCAACAGTGTAATCTGTCTATTTTGTGATGGGCGTGCAGGCATGTGTGCCTGTGTGTGTGAAGATTTTATAGTCCCCGGTCAAGGACACTGGGATAAAATATCTACCCCCTGACCCAGGCCTTAGGTATGGGTGGTTTTACCATCTCTTTTCCCAAGGTCTGTGTCCCTCCCACCCCATGTCTTGGAAATTCAGCACCATCTGCCATGAAGAAGAGGAGGAGAAGCACAGAGGCTTTGTGCTGGGCATGGGGAGCCCTGCAGATACCTGGGGATGTGGGTGACCAAGAACTAATGAGCACCCTGGGCCTAGCACCCTGAGCTGGTGCCCCACCCCCCAAGGTAACTGCAGGTGCTAAATAGCCAACAGTGAGGCTAGGGCTGGAGCCACAACTGGGCAGCCTGACCACACAACTCACTGTGTTTGGGAAATTTAAGCCATTATGTTGAAAGGCAAAGAAGCCCAGTCTGTGAGGCAAAAGCTTCCCCCATTTAAGCCATTCCCAGGCCAGCCTGAAGCCCACCTTTAGGCTATGCAGGGCTCATTCACTCTCAACCTGTTCTGGGGGTGGGAACGATTCTAGACCCATCCTTTGGTTTGTTAAGCAGCTCTGATGGCCAGTTTAACGGGGAGAGAGTTTGAGCCTGGCAATCAAAATGACGCCTGTGGCTCACCTAGGGACTCCATCCCTTGCTCCTGGACTTTAGAAGTTTCCACATAGAGGAGGCTCCCTTTAAGTCCAGACCTGTGGAATTGGGTCCCCAGAAGCTTTCCTCCTTGGTATCCTTGGTTTCAAAGCAGGCAATCCATTCTGGCTCTTTAGGGAAAGGTTCATGAAAGTGACTGGTGCAGAGCCATATAACAATAAAAACCAAAGTTGGGGGGAAAGATGCGAATGGAGATGATTAACACGATGGACTGTAGAGAGGAGGCCTGGGGTGGGTCTGACCCAGGACAGCTGGAGCTGTGAGGGCCAGAGGGCCCTTGTGCACTCAGTAAGACAAGCTTCAGCTGTGGGAAACTGAAGCTGCAGCACATGGAGGGCAGAGAGACAATTCTAACGTCTAAGAATCCATGAAGACCGGAGTGTCTGAGGCAATGGTAGCAAACCCAGGCCCAGTGGGGTTACCAATGAGATAAATTAACCCATCAGGCCTCTTAGACAACCAACCCACCAAGGAGTGGATTTGCTCCTGACCTGAACTCCAGAGAATGAATATATATATATGTGTGTGTGTGTGTGTGTGTGTGTGCATATATACATATACGCACACATATGTGTGTGTATATGTATATATACATATACTCTAGTGCACATAGTCAAACACATGCATAAATTGCCCTGTGTTAAAAATATTGCATAAGCTTATACAAGGTTCAAATGCAATTTTTTCTATAGCTAACTAGGTAGAGGAACTCGTGAAAGAGATACTCGATATATATTATGTACACTGGATCCACAGATCCACCTGTCCTCAGGGCCAGAGGCCCTGGTCAACTGTACAGTCATGCCCATGACTAGGTTAATTCCTAAGGTGCAGTCATGTGAGGTGTTCAGACGCTGCCTTCCCTGCTCACTCTCCTGGCTTTGCAGAGGTCTGTGCCCCCATTTGGAAGAACAGGAAAGGGCTGGGCTAGGGGGCCAGAAGTTTTGGTTCCCCATTCCAAATAGTCTATTTTTTCTCCTGATTGAGGGCTTTTGTCTTCCGATGGGGGAAAAGAAACCCTAGTTCAATGCCTTTCCTAGGCTATTAATACTCTAAATATGAATACTGTGTAGGCTACTAAGAAAAGAGGTTATCTCCTGTGTTTTAAATATTGAGATTCATGCAACAAACACCCATGCATCTCTATCACATCACGGGAAAATTTCACTGCAGTGTCAGTGTAGCTGGGCCACAGCATAGAAAAGTAGATGTCTGCAAACTCCAGTGTAACAAAGAAATAAGATGTGTTTTGGTGACCTTGAAGTCTGCAAAAATGGTGAGATCTGAAGCTGAGAGGTCCCTTGTTTTGTGAGCTTCGTCCCGTAGGCCTAAGGGAGCGAATGTGAAACTTGACAATTCACATTTGGTCATACTAACTGTCCCTCCCCGGGCTTCCCTCACATCGACACTGCAGAGAAAAAACCAAATGCAGCATTTTCCGTTATGAAACAGAAGCCTTCGGAGCATCTACTTGGCAACAGCAATTCACAAACCCTAGCCTGTGACACAGAAAGTGATTCCAACACACAGGACTGTGTGTTCTTTTCAATGCAAAAAATGGGAATGACCTTTTGAATAATTACCAGAGCTTTAAAGCTAAGCCACCATGGTTTTCCTCTGTTAAGGGGGAGGTGGACTCAAATGGGGTTGGGGGTGGGAGGGTAGGGGGTGCATCTCCCAGATGCTGTGTGCATTTACTGAGGAAGGGAAGGTGGCACGGATGTGGTGGGTTATGTATTTGATATGAGGTGGTCTCAATGCATCTTTCTGAAATCCTGGCTCCATAGGTGACTCCCATCTTTGGAAACCCCTAAGCCAGTGACAAAGATTTGCATGAAAGCCATGGATAGATATTCTGTGTTCTAAATCAAAAATCAAAAGATCAAAAGTCACTTGCACAACTATTGCTTTCCATGCAGAACCAGATACACACTGTAGAACACACTGACTACAATGCAGGCTATTATGCAATATCTGCATTAGTTCCATTGAGCTGGGGGTATGTTATTAGGTTTCAATCAGACATCAGTTAACATTTTGGTAATATTCACATAGTTTGTATTAGCCAAGGTGCAGTTGGCTGTTTTCAAGTTTTCCTCTCTAAAGTCCTCGTTACTGTTGTTTACCCCCTCCTGGATCTCCATGTAATCAGACTTACTAATGGTAGAGGCACTTCTACTTTTCTTTAGGTCGGGGGAGGATGGGATCTTTGGACAGCTCGTCACTTGCAAGTACTGGGCCTGTTCCTCTCCCTCTGTCTCCCGGTGGTAGAAGTAGTTGAAATTGGACACTATGACGGGGACCGGTAAGGCGATAGTTAAGACACCTGCAATTGCACATAGGGAGCCAACGATCTTTCCCCCAATGGTAGTCGGAACCATGTCTCCATAGCCTACAGTTGTCATGGAGACGACTGCCCACCAGAAGGCATCTGGGATGCTGGGGAACTGGGAATCTCGCTCATCGGCCTCTGCGAAATAGACAGCACTAGAGAAAAGGATGACCCCGATGAAGAGGAAGAAGATCAGGAGGCCCAATTCTCTCATGCTGGCTTTGAGGGTCTGACCTAGAATCTGGAGACCTTTGGAGTGTCTGGACAACTTGAAAATCCTAAAGACTCTTACCAAGCGGATGACACGGAGGATGGCCAGCGACATGGCCTGCTGGCCCTGCTGGGCATCCTCTGGCTTCTCAGCCAGCTCTGTCCCCAGGGTGATGAAGTAGGGGATGATGGCCACGATGTCAATGATGTTCATGATGTTGGTGAAGAAGCCGGCTTTGCTGGGACAGGCAAAGAACCTCACCAAGAATTCAAAGGAGAACCAGATGATGCAGAGGGTCTCTACAATGAAGAAGGGGTCAGTGAAAGATGTCGACTGCTGGTACCCAATGGTGCTGTTGGAATAAGTGTGGAAGGTCACTCCACCACCGTGCATGTCTTCATTCTCATCCCGGAATATAGGCAACGTCTCCAGGCAGAAGCTGACGATTGAGATCAAGATCACCATGACAGAGACAATAGCTATAATCCTGGCAGGCCCTGAGCTCTCTGGGTATTCAAAGAGAAGCCACACCTGTCTCTGAAACTCATTTTCGGGCAGAGGCCGCTCTTCCTCTTTGATGTAGCCTTCATCTTCCCGAAACATCTCCATCGCTTCTTCTCCCAGCTCATAAAACCGAATTTCTTCAGAGAATATATCTAAGGGCACGTTCACAGGTCGCCTCAGCCGGCCCCCAGACTGGTAGTAGTACAAAATGGCATCGAAGCTAGGGCGGTTCCGATCGAAAAAGTACTCATTCCGGAGGGGGTCAAAGTACCTCATCCGCTTCTTTGGGTCCCCTAAGAGGGTCTCTGGAAACTGGGCTAAAGTCTTTAGCTGGGTCTCAAACCGCAGCCCTGAGATGTTGATCACCACCCTCTCACAGCACTCGTGGTCTGCCTCTGGGTCATAGGTGTCCTGCGGGTGCCCAGGGAGGGCGGCAGCCTCATCCGCTGGGTCTCCGGTGGCCACTGTCATAATTGGGACTGAGAGAAGCGCCTCACGCTAGGCCTTCCAGCTGCCAGGCGGCAGGGAGCTCAGGGTGCTGCTTAGGGCCCCAGAAAGCACAGAAGCATTGGCCTGCGCTCCTGCAGGAGAGCCCCGAGGGCTCTCTGAGAACCAGAGAGACAGCCTCGCTTGGCTGAAAGACAGAGGCAGTTAAGGACATGAGACCACTTGGCATTGGCAGCCTGACCTGGATTGCCATTTCTTGTCTCCCATCTCTCAGCTGAGTTCAGAAACATCACCACCACCACCACCAAAAAACAAAATTTACTTTCACCTCATAACCTGGCTGGGGATCAGAGGGGAGCAGGTGACAGTTTCTCAAGAAAGCTCTGGAATTGCCCTGCCCTGGGGGAAGGTGTCTGGTACAGGCCCCCACTCTGTACCAAACAGGCCTCATGGAGCATAACCCCATACTAGAGGCTGGAAGAGAGCCCTCCCCCAGGCACTGAACTAATGTCTTGCAGATACCCGCACCCTGGGAGGCATTCATAGTGGCGCATATTGGGCCTGGGTCTCCCTCACTGCACCCACCCCATGACTCTACACATGGCTGTTATTAAATAATAGATTTATTTACCTGGCAAAGCAGGAATCTGAAGCTCTCTTCCTTGCAGAGCTGATCAGATGCTGCGGGAATCCTAGATACACAAACAGGCTGCCTGACTCCCCATCACGTCTTCTCACTTGAGCTAGAAATAATGGTGAGTCATTCTGGGCAGGAGGGCAGGCTCTGGGTCCCGGAGGCGAGCTCCAGGGCTGGGCTGGGCTGGAGGGGCAGCGGCGTGCCTGGCCAGGGGCACACAGGACTCGAGGACGGACGAGCTTGGGTCTGGAGACTTTGGAAGGAAGAAGGCAAGATGCAAAGCTCAGCAAAAGCCAGAGTCCTCCTGGCTGTCCTCAGGAGGAGCGACGTTGCCTGGAAAAAACAGCAGCAGCAAGGTGGAACCAGGGCTTTCGGGCAGCTGGTGCCAAGAGTTAAGAGGGCTCTGGAACTTCCCTTCCAGGCCCATCTTCCATTCTAGTGTCACACCTAAGAACCACCCCTCAGCCTCCCAGCCTCCTCTGGGCAGGTTTCCATCAGCTGAAAGCATTTTCTCCCAGGAAACAAGCCTTCAGGCTTGGCTGGGCCTGTCTCCTCCAGAGCCAGATACCCAACCGTCGGTCCTCAGCAGCCATCAGGAGGGACTCTGGGCAAAGTCCTCCCACCCCCAGGTCAGGGTGCAGGTCTCCCAAGGGGAGGGCTTCCTGCACTGCAGCCTGGCTACAAGCTCTGACCCGGCAGGGTCCTGAAGGAGGAAGGCAACCTCCCCATCTCCCCAGCACACATTCCTCCAGAGCTCATGTAGGGAGACTGCTCACACAGAAAGGTCGACTCTACAAAAGCTGGCTGGCTTGGCCCCAGGACTTACTCTCCCTCGGGGATCCCTAGGCTGCAGGCTTCCCTCTGAGTGGGGTGGCATTTGAACTGGGCAAGCGCTCGACCCCCGATTTCTCCCCAAGAGAAAATTCCTCACATCTCCTCTGCAGGGAGCGCAGAACGAACGCTCAGCCAGCCTGGCTACAAGGCGGCTTGGCAGCAGCGAGAGGGGGAGCCTGGAGAAAGCCGGCTTCCGGGCTGGCCCCCTGCCGGCCCAATCCCGCCAGCCCCAGGGCGGGGAGGGGTCTGGGCCCTCTCCCCATCTTCCCGGGCTCCGGCTGGGATTCCGGCGGGCGCGCTCCGTGCTCGGCTCGGCGCCGGCGGACTAGACCCATCAGCTGGCCGCAGCCGCGAGCGCCACCTTAACCCGCTCCTGCCCGGTCCACTGGGGTTTCGCTGCGGGCCAGAGCGCAGCCCACCTCTTTTGCCCCTAGGGTCCAGCCGAGGGACCACCGAGGCTCCATCTCCACCCGGAAACACTGGAGCCTGAACTCTGGGGGTGGGGAGTAGGCTGCTGCCTCAGATCTCAGCTTTCTCCTAAGCGCGGGGGCTCCCTGGCAGCCCACGGCCCCAGGGAAGCGGAAAAGCCCCTCTCTGCCGCAAAGCCGTGTTTATTCCCAGTCGGAGACGGGAAGGCAGCCCGGCCGTCCCAAGGGATTCGGGTCCTACCAACCGGTGCGATTTACCAGACATGGTTATGCTGTCAGCTGCACTTCCCATCACCAGCCAGCTCCTCTCTGCGCCCTCCGCCCCGCGCCACGCACAGCACAGAGGGTCCCTGAGCCCATTCCGTGCCCTCGTCTTCGACAGAGCGCCAGCCCCCCCCTCGCCCTCCCAGGTCCAGCCAGGCAGCCGTGGTCCGCACAGGCTCGCCCGCTCCAGACTCAGCCCGAGCCCGCCGCGCGGCAGGCTGCGCCGCCGGGTGCCCCGCAGCCCCTTTGGGCGCCGGGGCAGGGAAAGCAGCACGCGCAGCTGAACGCCCCGACACCGATTTACCCTTCCTGATGGGCACCCGCAGCCTCCATGTTTCTGGGCGACCGCAAGCGGTGGCGGGGTGCGGGCGGCCAGCCGGGAGCCCGCTCTGCAGTCCCGCGGGCGGCGCGTACCGAGCGCCCGGCCGCCGCCCGCAGCCGCACCGCGCCACGCAGCGCCGCACCTGGCCCGGCAGCGAACTCGAATTAAAGGGGCCGGCGGGGACCAGAGCCGGCGAGGCTCGCCGCGCCGCCACCACCGAGCTGGCCTCTTAGTTGGGCCCCTGGGCCTCGGCCCCCTACCCACGAGGAAAACACCCCGTTCTTTGGCAGAGCCCAGCTTACTTTTAACCAGAACTTCGTGGAGAGCTCAGCTGGGTGCTGCCGGGGCTGGGGAACGAGGGGCAGAAGTTGAGGATCAGTCATGACAGGCTCCTGCCAACATAAGGAACTAGGCAAGGAGGAAACAATCAATAGCAGGTATCCTAGGCCCGAGGAGAGATCCAGCCCCAAGGGAGATGTGTTGCCATTACTATGATGCTGCCAGACAGAATCTGCAGACCCCCCTCCTGGCCCTCTCGCGCAGCCTCGCTCCCTCCTCCAGCTCTCTCTCCTCATCTCCCTCTTACCCAGCCAAAGCTTTGGCTTCGCAGGGGAATGCAGCAGGTGTGGGCCGCCGTGTGGCAGAAACTCGCTGCTGTATTCGCCCCCACCAGGAGGAGCCGCAGGAACAAGCAGAACTGCCGGACCGACCCTCTCTCTCGCCTCCCTGCCCCCATGGCCCAGGCTGGAAAGGCTAGGGGACGTGCAGCTGCCCTAGCAAGGCCCAGCTACCCGCAAAAGGGGCCCCCTCACAGCCCTTACAAAGCCAGCTGGCCCAGGGGCTCTGAAACTGGGAGTGCAGCTCATGGCACCCTGGGGTGGGCAGAGCAGGATGACCTTCGCTTCTGGAAGAATGTGTGTGGGACGCCCAGCCGGCCCTCTGCTCAGATGGTGGATCTGAGAGGGTCCAGGGTGCTCTTGGATCGTTCCAAATAGTGGTTCCTTGAGCCTAGACTGCAGCAGACAGGAGCCCTGGATGCAGAGGGTCTCCAGTCCTGGGGAGACTCCTGCTGGGCCCTTCTTGTCGGACAACACTCCTCTCCAGGCCTGTGGCTTGTGATGGAAGCTCTCAGAGCCCACAAGGTCCAGCTCTGTGGGATTCCGGCATTTCATCAGGGTAGTCTACCAGGTAGGGTTTAAGACTAGGGGCCCACCCAGAGCTTCAGGGGGTGGTCTGGGAGGGTGGTGACCTCAGTGAGCTCCGGGTATAAGGCAGGACTAGTTTGGTTCAGGGCCCCTAGAAGCTGGGCCATCAATGTCCCAGGCTGAGTATGGCCTGGAGGTTTTGGAGCCAGCTGGCCTAGACTTAAATCTCTGGTAGGTACGAGGCAATTAATTCATGTCTCTGAAACTTAGTGTCCTCATCTGCAAAATGGGGACACTTCACGGGCTGTTGTGAGGGTTGTTTATGTAAAGGATTTAGCCCCCAGCAGACACTCCACAAATGACAGTTTCTCCACTCTGCTTCCCTATGAAACTCTGATCCTAATGCCCAGCCTCCCGCTCAGCTGTTGACTGTTTCTCTAAGTGCCCAGTCACCAGGTTTTGTTGCCCTCTTCCCTCTGCTCCCCGGTTTGCCCCGCCCCACCCCTCACTTTCCCCAAGGTCTCAGCCATTCCCACCTCCATCGCCAAGCTGTTCTCTAGAACCCTTCTTCACATGCCTTCTGGAGCCTCTGCTGACCACGCTGCAGGGCTGTTTCTCCTTCTTGCCACATCGGGTCCTCATGTCAATTAAAGCACAACAGGCTCATCCATTTGATCGGGTCTGTACATTTTATTCGCCCTCCTTTTTAAAAATGAAAGCCATGGACAGAGGAAAGCTCTTGAGGGAGAATTAATAATCATGCTAATTGGTGACATGTGCTTACCATGTGTCAGACACCATGCTCAGCACTTCTAGCCCAGCGGGGCGTTTAATCCTCACAGCTCTAAGAGATCGTTTCTACCTCAGTATCATTTCATGGAAAAGGAAACTGAGGCAGAGAGAGGTGAAGCCACTTGGGTAGCTCTGGGACATGAGGCAGGTTTTTGCGACTCTAGGACACACACCCTTAGCCCCTACCCCACCCTGCTCAGGTAGAAGAGCGGCTCTTGACTTTCATTTCTCTCTTTAGGATCATCCTCTGACCCCTGTTCCACCTCCTGACTGGCCTCAGGGGTATGTCGTCCTGCCTTTAATACCTGATCCAAGTGTGAACGACAGCCAAAAGAAATTAGCTAAAGAGGGGGGCCAGCCCTGTGGTGTAGCAGGTAAGTTCAGCGTGCTCCACTTTGGTAGCTGGGGTTAGTGGGTTTAGATCCCAGGAGTAGACCTACACCACCCATTAGCCATGCTGTGGCGGAAGATTGGCACAGATGTTAGCTCAGGGCTAATCTTCCACAAGCAAAAAACAAAAATTAGCGAAAGAAAGAAAGAAAAATAAGAAACATAGCAGTTTGTTCAAGGGCACAGGGTGTGGCTCTGGCCCTGGAAGGTGACTGCTGGTTTGGCAGTGCTGTGTGAGAAGAGATCGTGGGCCCAATTCCTAGCTCTGACACTTGCTAGCTGTGTGAACTTGAGCAAGTTATTTAAACTCTTTGAGCCTCAGTTTCCTAATTTGTTTAATGGGACAGCAAAACTGCTTCACAGGGTGGTAAGGATTAAATGAGTTACACAGAGTGGACAGCCAGCTGCTTACCCTAGGTGTTTAGTCACTGTTAGCTCACTTTCCAGCCCTATAGTGATCACTATTTCTTATTTTGGGCCGCAAAAGAAGGGCTGGAATGCCCCTTGATCCCTTCCCTGGGGCAGGTCAAACTCCCAAAGACCGCCCCCTGCCCCTTCAGTCTGGTTTCCTGCTAGGGCCATGCCTTAACTGTCACAGTGAGTGACCTGCCCCTGCCCAATGCAGGAAAGTTGTTGGTTCCTGTGGTCGTGACTACAGTCATTGGAAGGAGGAGTTTATCCGGGTGTGCCCACCCACGCTGATGCCCACCCCCACCAAGCCACAGGAGGGAGGGTCCTTTCGTTCTTCCCACCACAACTCATGAACACAGAAGATGACACGAGCTCCCTTCTCAGTGACACTCCCAGAGGACCAGCTTTCCTTCCTTGTGCGACTGCCACCTCAGCTGATGCTTGCTTCTCCACCCACCCACTCACCCTCTGTCCTGTGGCCCATGGAGGCAGGGCAGGGGAGCACGGAATGCGAGCCCCGGCTCTGGGCTGACAGCTTTCCATAAGTCATTTGATTTCATCCTTGCAACCCATGGGAAAGACGCTACTGACTTTATCTTACAGTTGAAGATACTGAAACTCAGAAAGGACAAGTCCCTGTCCAGGGTCATTTAGCTAGTAAGTGTCGAGGCTGGAACAGAACTCAAGACCGTCTGACTCCACAAACCACCATTCCCGTCTGCTGCCTGCTTTCACTGGTAGCTGAGTGCAGGCCTCTGGGCTCAATTCCTGGTCTTAGGAACATGGGTTCAGTCCAGCAGAGCTTGCAGACACTTAGGGCACATCCATATATCCACATATCTGCTGGAGGCTGCCCAACTTGACAGGAGGTCTGTTTCAGAAGTGGGTGGTGGTGGTGGTGATTAACTGTTCACACCAAGAAAGTTGAGGGAGTGGCACAGGATTCAGGACCTGAAGGCTCCGCCCTGTGCCCTTTCCTAGAGCAGTTCTGCTGGTGCTTCTCACATCTATAGGCCCATGGCCAAGCATCCCTCACCCCGCACAGAGGCGTGCAAGGCAGAGCATCCGACTGTGGCTGTAGTCTGGGCTTTAGTCTTAGCATGCAGAACTGTTTGATACCAGGCCACTCGCTTGACCTTTCTGTGCAGCAGTTTATTTGTAAAATAGGAAGGATAAAATTTGCCCCTGGCACCCTTGCTTCATAAGGTTAGAAGAGAGAGAAGAAGGAAGGAAGGAAACTAACATTCATTGTCAGTGTGTATTAAAAATCTCATTTTTTAGGATCAAAGAGGAGAATACACGTGAATGCATTTGGAAAAGTAAAACCCTGGTCAGTGTGGAAGAGTACACGGCTCTTGTGATTGTCGTTGCTGCTGCCCTGGTTGTGCCCTGCCAGTATGCGTCATGCCTGATCTCTGAGGACTTCCCCTGGAAGTGGAATGAGCATCCATTCCAGCCCCCTCCTTACCTAAGGGCTGCTTCCTACAGGAAGTCTCCTACAAGCAGTTGAAGGCTGCCTCCTGCAGGAAGACTTCTGAGATTCACTCCAGCTGCCTCTAAGGAACTCCTGTGTGGAGGCCAGGACCTTGGCGCCTGTCCTGAATTAGCTGCTACACACTCATCCCACTTTCCTGCAAATCTCAGCCAAGTAAAAGAGGACATTAAGGAATGGCTAAAGGGGGTGGACCGCCCTCCCATTTTGGAGCTGCTCCTCTGTGTCAGGCACTATGCTGGTACCTCACTGTCAGGCCCCTGCTATTAACACCCAAAGGCAGAATAGCGTAGAGGTTGAAGTACAACCACTGGTACCTTTGGGTGTAGGGCCTAGTCCCAGGCCCGCCACATTTTAGCACTGTGGCTCACTTCCTCACCTGTAAACTGTGATTGTGTGGCTGGAAGGTAAGGCATTCAGAACAGTGC